TCGCCCGGGGACTCCGGGACACGGTGTTCTTCTAACACCTGGAATGACTATAAAAGGTTGATGCCTCATCTCCATCTTGTCTTCAATCCTGCTTCTTACCTCTGGAGGGACTTTGCTACAAACTGAAGCTCTGAACAAAGGACTGATGACCTGTCCCAGCTGGGGATGTTCCAGAGACGTGATTTGAACCTGCAGTTTATTCCATCATTGCTACAAGCCTGAACCAAGAACTTTGCCATTACTGTATGGAATTGATTCCATTGAACCAATTCTAACTCTCATCTCTATCTTCTTCCTTTTATGAATAAACCTTTAGATTTTAGATTCTAAAGGATTGGCAACAGCGTGATTTGTGGGTAAGATCTGATTTGTATATTGACCTGGGTCTGGGGCTTGGCCCTTTGGGATCGGGAGAACCTTTTTTCTTTTATTGGGGTATTGGTTTTCATAACCATTTGTCCCCATAACGAGTGGCACCGGTGGTGATACTGGGAAACTGGAGTGTCTAAGGGAATTGCTTGTGAGACTTGCGGTTAGCCAGTGGGGTGAGACCAAAGTCCTCTTTATCTGGCTGGTTTGGTTTGCCTTAGAGGTGGAAAAACCCCAGCCTTGGGCTGTAACTGTTTGAGCAATTTGTCCTAAATTGGTCCCGCCAGAACCAGCATCGTTACAGGAGCCCAGAGGGGAGATCCTGGAGGTGGACTGGGACCAGAGAGGCCAGGGAGACGGGCTGCCCGGTGTGCCCTGGAGTCTCTGCCCGTACCGGCTTCATTTGTGACGGGCAGCGCCGACACCCGGCGGTCCACGAAGATCTCCAGGGCCATGTAGACGGGCGCCGTCTCCAGCACCTGGGCGATGTCCCGGAAGGTGCCCACGCCCAGCTCCTGGATGGTTCTGTGCAGGAAGCGCGGCTTGGGCAGCATGGCTCCCTGCGGCGGGAGAAGGGCAGTGATCAGGGGCAGCTCCGGGCACACACCGAGGGCTCTCTGCTGCCGGAGGCGGCTAGGCCGGCAGGGACGGGGCTCGGGTTTGCATTCCGGGCTCATGCTGGGCAGTGCTCTGGGCTCTAGGGCAGCACGAGGTGACACCCCCCAGTCCCCACTGCTGGTCCCGGGCTCCCTCGCATCAGGCCAAGGGCAACGGCCCAGCAGATCCCACCAGCCATGGTATAGTGCAGCAAGTGAGGAGCTAGGTACATGCACATGCCCTGCACACACACTGCGTGCACGCACAACCCGCATGTACACCCCACACACACGCACACACACTGCGTGCACGCACGTACACCCCCCCACACACTGTGTCCACGCACAACCCGCACGTACAACCCACACACGCACACACACTGCGTGCACGCACGTACACCCCACACACGCACACACACTGCGTGCACGCACCTACACCCCCCCACACACTGCATGCACGCACAATCCGCACGTACATCTCACACACACCCCCACACACACTGCATGCACGCACAACCTGCACA